ATGCCTCCCAACGTTCCGTCCGCCGGGAATAACACTACGGGGTGAGTCAACCTTATACCAAGAGCGCGTTCGTTCATGTCTAATTTCTAGTTTAACCATGAATGACCAGGACGGGAGAACTAGCAGCATCTTTCAGCTGACATAGGAGTTATATATGACGATTCATCGTGCTATACTCTTACATACTAATACTAATATTGGTTTATACGCAAGAATAAACTTACTTGATTGTGATGGACTTTCAATGATTTGGACGGTGAGGTCATGGGATAGGGACATCAATCTGTTGACTATTTAAGCATATACTCCTAGATGGCCTTATGCATGCATTTCTGCAGATCAGGTGTTAATTAATACTATGTTCATACAACGAAATTTTATACCGACATCACCTAAAGTACTTCAGAAAAACAACTCTAAAATAGAGGAGTAACACAAAATGCCGGATCAGTCTATGCACACCGGATCAGTTTATGTATTTCTTCACACTCGACGAGCAAGTAACATATGAAATGTCGCCGGCCTGATTATGGTCTTAAATTTTTGAAATCAATCATGTTTGGTAGGTTGTATGTCACACAATTCTTCTCTGAAGCGGTGCCCCTAAATACAATATTATTTTGATGATTTCTTTTCTTGAACACTTTTGCATGGAACAGAGAAACGCCACTCGCGGACGCATTGAGATATCAAATCGAAGTCCAAAGGAAGTTGCACGAACAGCTTGAGGTAACATGTCCAAACCATCGTCAACATGAGCCTCATTCCTCCAAATCCCTGCCTCCAGAACCACAACGTGTTAACCAATCAGTATTCTCCTGTGCTACACATGCAGGTTCAGAAGAAGCTGCAAATGCGCATCGAGGCGCAAGGGAAGTACCTGCAGACGATCCTGGAGAAGGCCCAGAAGAACCTCTCGTACGAAGCAGGCGGAGACGCAACCCTAGAGACAACCAGGTCGCAGCTCACCGACTTCAACCTAGCTCTCTCGGGGTTCATGGACGACGCGACGCAGGCGTGCCAGCAGAACGGCGGGGAGCTGGCCAAGGCCTTGTCCGACGACGGCCTCAGAGCCGGCAACCTGGGCTTCCAGCTCTACCACGGCGGCGAGGACGTGAAATGCGCCACGGACGAGGACCTGCTCCTGCTGGACCTGAACATCAAAGGTGGGTACGATCACCGGCTGTCCGCCCACGGCATGCGGCGCGGCGCGGTGGACCTGGCGGTCGGCCAGCACCGGAGGTAAAATGTGTTTCAGTAGAAGGGCGAGCGTAGTTCTTAAGTCGAGCAGTTGAGTTCCCCACGAGAGATTCTTTTGGCGGTCCCGAACGGAGATCATCTTGTTTACGGTCTGGTTACACTTCATACGTACGTACCCATGCTGATGTAAAATCTGTGGAAATTGAGATCCAGGCTTCGAATAAGTGTAGCTAGACGATGATCGAGTGTGAGATCTGATTGCATTGTGTATGTACTACCTAAAATTCTGATCGACTACAACATAGCATCGTGGAGTGTTTTTGCTGCTGTTGAGGGATGGCATTATGGAGTGTTGCATGCAACAGACCGGGCACCTTCAAGAGATTCTGTCTGTCTTGTAGTAGTTGGGTTCAGTAGCTCTGTTCCTATGTATGAAAATGATATCTTGTTTCTAATGTCTTGTCGAGTAAGCACATCGCATTATTGGCTTGTTGTGGGGAGGTGGAAGTCAAAGGTGGGTGGTGGTTTGCATGTCTTGACTAACTAGTAGAAGAGGAGCAATTGGAAATTCAAATTTTGGAGCCTGCAACTGAAAGTGCACCTCTCAATTCTGAAGCAGAATGTCAACACACGTATCCTTCTTCGAAAAAGCACTGTCTGTTGTCCAAACGAGTAGTGCAAAAACCCTGGAAAAAAATTACATTGAAGTCCCCAAGGGCTAACCTTCTTCTTCCTCTCATACGGCTGATGGCGCATCACCCCAAACAGCTCCAAGCTGGAGTCAACTTACCCTTATTGATCGCGGATGGTAAGTCATCAAGGTCACAGTCCTACCGGACCATCACCCTGGAAAAGAAACTCTCAAAGTCGAAAGAGCCTTAGATCCAAGAGCTCAACCTCTATTAGATCTCAAAGGCCTCATGACGACACCATGGAGCGTGCTAATGTGACGAAGATGAGGCGGGAAGACCCACCTGTAAAGGGATGCCGCCGCGGATGCATTACAAATCCTATGACCCCAGCATCACTGTCCAAAACAGATGGCCGGAATCTACACCCGTGAACCATCGACGCTGCCAGACAACACCATGAGATGGGAATGCTCGAGGAATATTATTTCTCGGGCAACCATCGTCGCCAACATCAACGATAAGGCACCGAAGATGGCTTTACTTTATGCTATCGTTACCATCACTGGAAGGGTCGAAGCGACTGACAATGAAGGTCAACCTAAAAATACCATAAGGAGAGAAACTATATCTTGATTTGGTAGATCGAGGCCTCCTCGTAGTACCATACCGACATGCCAGCGGTGAAGGAGGGGCAACGACATACCAGTGAAGGAGAAGGAGTGGCACGACGCCCCCAAGCCTCTCGCTAGGGTTCGGAGAGGAAATGATATGACATGGACCCCTCATTCGACTTGAAGGACACTTCTAGCACATACATCAGTGCTAACATAAGCAACTTCCGCTCTCTTCATGACTAGGATGCACATAGACAACATCAACACACACATCAAGCATCAATTCGTCAAAGTGCAAAGCTATGCAAGACTAAAGCTATACCGGGGGTGGGGTGTGGGGGGGTTAGGATTCTAAAGCTATAACAGCGGCTGACAAACTATAATAACGATTATCCGCACCACTCATCTCTTCACGCTAGAAGGACAACAAGAAAGATTTTTTCAGCAACAATGCCTCTAGGAAGGGAACTACAGTCAAGCGTTGCATTCGCCGGAACCAACCATCGAAGGCTAGATCCTAAGTTTTCATCCTAAAGATGAAGGCTGAGCAAATCCAAACAATGCCTTCAACAAATTAACAACGTGAAAACACCGTCATTGAAGTACAACCAACTAGGGTTAGACGGGTTTTCACCACCAAAACAAAGTCATTATTTGTTGTAACCACCATTTTCGTGATTCTAGTAGCTACATGTGTAGCATGGTCACGTCGTGCGAGTGTCATGCCACGCAAGTGAAAAACATGCCCGCACAAGCAGACTATCTCGCCGCGACAATAGGCAGTCACCACCATAGACTTCTAGTGGCAAAGGTCGCCACCGCACACGCAACGATGATTGATGAGGAAGAAGGCTCACTGGTACCGCCAAAATCCCAATGATGCTTTGGCAGTCCCATGTTGTTCTCTTGTCCCACCGTCCTAGAGCATAGCATTATGGAGTGATTTTGTGAGAAATAGCATTTTGAAGTGTTGAGATAAAGAACAAATGCTTACTTAGTAAATGATTGTACATACTTTTCTGTTGAGGACGAGAGGGTATGGATACAGTTATTGCGTAAAAAGTATCTACACTCCAAAACCCTTGCACAAGTTACACGGCAGCCGAATGATTCTCCTTTTTGGAAGAGGCTCATGCGGACAAAGGTAGCCTTTTTCAATAGGACCAAAATCAATGTTGGGAATGACAATTCAACTAGGTTTTGAAAAGATACTTGGCTAGGGAGCACGACGCTGGCCATACAGTATCCAACTCCCTACAATATTGTACAACGAAAAGAGACATTCGTTAGAAGAATCCTGGAATCTGTTCTCTTAAACATACAGTTTAGAAGGTTACTTGTGGGGGGACGATATATAAATGACTATATTTTATGCACAGGTTGATGCAGGTCAGCCTTTCTGATAAGCCAGATACACCACACTAGAGACTTTCGGTGTCAAGGGTATTCTCGGTGAAGTCTATGTATACAAACTTGATAAACACTGGTCTAATCCCAAAGTCACTACACATTTGGAAAATCAAGGTGACCTTAAAGATCAAAAAATTATGTGGTCTGTTTACAAGAAAGTGGTCCTGACTAAAGATAACCTGGCAAAACGTAATTGCGAGGATAGTAAATGATGTTATTTCTGTGATCGAGATGAATAAATCCAACACTTTCCAAGCTACTGTGGCGCACAGTGCATGTGACATTTAATGTTAGTCCATCTGATACCATAAACACTCCCTTTTGGGACTTGGCTAAACGAGGTAGAGCCTAAGTTAGCGGCACATATTTGAGTCGGGGTGTGTGTGCCTTACTTTAGACCATATGAAACTATCGGAATAATATGATTTTTAACAGACAAAACATTATAATTTTTTTGCACATAATCTACAGAGCAACTGGTTAGATCCGTACATGGTCGTTACTCAACAGTGCGGAAGCCAATGAGCATATGACTTATGGGTGCAACAGATGGAAGACGGTCACACGGGATACCTATAGCCGGTTCGGAAAACGGTCTAACAAAAGATAGGTGTATAGGCACCTAGTCCTAGATTTTTTTTATCTCTTGATGAGTTGTTGTATCGTACTACACATTTGTTGGATCTTTTGGTTAATAAAATGGTTGCATGCATCGCTTCGCTGCTGCAGAGGCCGGGAGTAATCCTTCTTTTCTAAAAGAAGAAGAAATGAAGCGTTGCATTCTGTGTGTCTGTGGTTGGGTTCAGTAGCTTCTTCCTGTGCATGAACCAAAGAGGGCCTAACTAGTAAAAGAGGATCAAGTGAAAATGCAAAATTTCGAGCCTGCAACTGAAAGTGCACTTGTGAATTCTGAAGCAGAATGTCAGCACATATATCCTTTGCTAGCAGAAGCAACTTCCATTACAAGCCAAAGTGCACCACCGTTCATCGCTAGCTAACCAAATAGTTCCTCGAGAAATCTTGGAGCTGTCGTGACAAACGGCCGTTTTATTTCTCAAGCATCACTACCTTACCTATCCGACACATATACGAGTGTTGTTCTTCACTGACAAGGGCAGAGCTAGGCGGTCTGGGCATTCATCCGTCAGTGATATCCTAGCGGGGCAGGCGTCTTGTTGAGCTCCAGCCCCTGGAAATGGATGTCCTGCATGCCCATCATCATTCACCAGAATCAAAAAAACAGTTCAGAGTCCAGACATCACATCAGGAGAAGCTAGCAGAGCAGAGTTCAGACGTCGAGACATCGGGGACTAATGCATGGGAGATGAGCGTACCGCGGCGAAGTGGTTGACGTCGCGGTGGTGCGCCTCGTCGGCGCGCACGACGGTGACGACGTCCTTGAGCCTGGCGTCGGCGGGGAGGCGCCAGTAGTCGATGGCGATGCGCGGGGCGGGGACGTTCTCGATCCTGCCGGCCTCCAGGTCGCGGAGGAACTCGGTGTAGGAGTGGATGGCCTCCTCCTCCAGGTAGCCCACGACGCGGTGCGCGAACTTGGGGGACACGATGTACCCCAGGAAGTAGGCGTTGAAGAAGACGCCCTGCACCGCCAGCACCAGCGGGCGCTCGTACCACTTGGGGTTGGCCACCTCCATGAAGGTCATCAGGTGCATCCGCTCGTTCTCCGCCTCCTCCAGCAGCGCCCGGATCCACCCGCCGCTCTGCTCGAACCGCCGCAGCGACCGCAGGTGCAGCAGCATCCCGCCCACCATCCCCGGCACCGCCGCCACCGTCTCCAGCATCATCGCCCGGCACCCGTACCTCCGCTGCATAGCGTAGGCCCAAGTCGACCCGCCGTGTCATGTCAGTGTCGGACGAACACATATATCTGACCCCCGTGCCGTACCTGGAAGAAGATGTCGGTGGGCACGCGCAGCGACTTGACGGTCCAGTAGGCGATCTTGTCGAGCAGCACCTTGGGCTTGTGGTGCTTGGAGAGATCGATGGTCGTGTCCGACGTGTACGCCTCCCACGGCTGCGAAATCACACGGTCACCACGGCTACGTGCACTGTCAACGACAAGGAGAATATGCAGACGATTTCATTACCCTGAAGCAAGACCACTTCCACTCGGCGCCGTCCTTGTTCACCAGCTTGGCAGGCACGATGCCCCAGTAGCTGCTCGCCGCGGGGCTCTTGCCCTCCTTCGCGGCCTGCACAGCGTCGGCCTTGGCGGCCTGCATCGCCTCGGCCGTCGCGGCGGCGGTGCTCGCCACGTTGTCCTTGGACGCGGTCGCCTCCTCCCTCGCCGCCGAGGTGGACAGCGGCCGCGCCCACATGGCCACGGCCACGGCGCCCCCTTCCCCTCCGGCAAGCAGGGGCCTCTGCGCGGCCGGAGTGGTCGGCCCGAAGACGCGCGGGCCCAGGTGGCGGAGGAGGACGGATCCGGCGACGCGGGAGCTCATCGCCGAAGATGACGAGCCTGCTTGGTGGGCTGCCGCTCTGCTCGCGAAACTCGTGGTCGCAGGCTCGAGAACCTGCGGACGTGCCAAGCTCTGAGAGGGTGACGGGATGACGTGTCGCTGTCGCCGAGCCAGCGCGCGCCACGATGGCATGGCGCTACGAGCAGATGACGCGAGACGTGGGAGCAACGGCGGCTCTGCTTGACTGGTGTTTCTGGAGCTCGCAATTGACTGGTGGGCAGCTTCTGCGTGCTCTCGCCCGTGAGATTTGTAGTTTCGGGTGTGCCCCAGCTTTTCAGGAGGCTCCCCTCAAAAAAAAAAAAAGCTTTTCAGGAGGCAGGATTGGGTGTCAAAATCGTTGCGGCTGCTATGTGGTGGGGTGGCTGCTAGGACTTCCGGTGGACTCTGAACTTGGCCGTGCGTCGGCGTGCCTAGAATCTTTGTGTTCCCATTTCAACGGATGAGGAAAGATTGTTAGTTTTAGTGGACTTGTTTTGACACGAAAATTAGACTGGCCTACTGTTTTCCCCCTCGTTCTTAGAGCATCTCCAACAGCCGCCCAATACCATGACACGTTAAAAATCAGTTTGCAGTGTGTCGATCGTCTGCTTTGGCACGGCGAGGAGCGCTTGCTCCAGCGGCCGTGATAAAATTTAGCGCGCGCAGCTCCCGCATGCGCGCGGGAGCAGCCAACGCTTGCCATATGTTGCATTTTGGACACAAAATGAATTTCAAACATCAAAACAATGACATGGCATAATTCAAATCACACAAACAAGTTCATGCTGACATAAAAGTTCATGCCCACAAGTTCAAATTCATGCCCATAACATCATCTGGCCAAGTTTAAAATCCAAAACAAGTTCATGACACAAAAGTTCACATCAACTAAAGGCACATCAATAATTAAGCCTCGTCCTCGTCTTCATCCTCATCTTCCTCCGACTCATCCTCCTCCTTCGAAGACGATTGTTCCTCCTCCTCTTCATTGTCGCACGCCGCATCATCCTGTGAAGCTCGGAAGGTGTTGGCTAGATTTTCAACGGCATCTTCATGCGAAGGTGTGTGAGGCACCTCGGAAGACATTCCGCCATGTCGCCCGATGTGCTCCCATGCCTCCCATGAGAGACGCAAAACTCATGCCTCCCATACAGTCCATGCCGCCCGGAGGTGCTCCGAAGCCACCCATGCCTCCCATGGTCTCCATGATAGCTCCAAAGCCACCCATGGTAGCTCCGAAGCCACCGATGCCTCACATGCCGTCAAGGCCACCCATGCCGCCAAGGCCACCACCACCCATGCCGTGAATCATGGCTCTTTTTTCGATCAGGACTTCTTCATGGGCAAGATTGACATACTCCTTTTGCGCCTCATTGAGGATAGATGTGTCCATGAAGAACAAGTACTTCTCCCAATCCAACACAACAACCTAGATCGCTCCTCCATGCCCACCTTCCTCTCCTCCAATGCCACCTTCCTCTCCTCGGCCGCGGCATCTTGGTTCCTTACCATCTTCCTCACCTCGTTCGCTTCTTTTCTTCCCTTCACAATAGTTTTCATAGCATTTTTTAGCTCATCATCTCTTTTCCTCTTCTTCTTTTCTTTTGCGTCTTTCTCGCACACATCCGGTCGTTTTGGCTTCGAGTATGAAACCGAGTTGGGTGTGGGGCTTCTCTTGCCGTCATCACTTGATGCCTCCTCCTCATCATCATCCAAATCAATTGTTTGCATGTGTTTGTTGCTCATATCCAAATCATCCATACCATCACGCTTCTTTCATTTCTCATCATCCTTCAATGCTTCATAGCAATGAGGCAAGGTAAATGGTCTTCCTTTCTTGATCTTTCCTTTCTTGCTCTTCTTCTCCTCTCCTTTGAACTAGTTTTGTGCAATATTGAACTACATAAAAACAAAACAATTTAGCACTACAAACACCAACAACAAGCATGATGAACATGGACGAAATGGCACTTACCCTATGTTCATCATTAATGCCACTTGGATTCAACTTGTCAACCGCCATTTGTGCGGCCACCCACTTTTGACAATCTTTGTTGATTGTCGACCACCGGGAGCGAAGAAATCGGTCGGAGTGATCACTTCCACTCTTGTTGTGTAGATCAAAATGCTCCTTCATCCGGTTCTAATAAGCATCTCTACTTTGATCACCTCCAACGGATGGATCCCTCGACACTTGCAACCAAGTATTGCATAGCAAGACGTCTTCTTCATTGGTGTAGTTGCCTCCTCTTCCTTTCGGTGCATCGACAATGCCCTCACCATCCTCGTCCACCTCGAACTCATGGTCATCGAGATGCATGTCATTTGTTTGAGACCAATGCGAATTGTTGGAGCCAATACCCATAGTTGGCATGTATGCCTCATCGTTGAAACTACAAAGTATATACAATGAAGCAAATAAGCTATCTATATGTATGCATTCAAAAAATAACAAGAACAAAAAAGTTGGCGAAATTTTATACCTTTGGGTCATTTCCTTGAACACCTTGTGCGCGTCGGCCGCCGGCTCAACAAGTGAGCTCGCCGGCGCTTCAGTAGCCGTCGCGCCCGTCGCACGCCCTGCAAGCTTCTTCCTCGACGGCTTCGAGGAGCTGGAGTCGTCCGCCGCCTTCTTCTTCTTTGCGGATCCCTTGCCCTTCTTCGGCCGTGCCGAATTTGGAAGCTTCGAGAGGGGGGCACGTGGCTTCATGGCGGGCGCCAGCGCGACGCCACCCGCCGTCGAGGTCATCCGTGGCGGCACGAAAAGACCGCGCGCGATGCCGGTGCTTGGAGGAGCTCCGGCGGAGGCGAAGCCAAAGCTACCCGCGCTAGGGTTTGCAGCGGCGGCGGCGGTGGAGGGATCGTGGCTGTAGGAAGGGGTGAGGGGGGAGCCGGTGCGGGCGTCCATCGGGTCAATTCGCCGGCAGCGGCGCGGGCGGGGCGAAGGTGACGCGGCAGAGAGAGTGCGGCGCGAGCACTCGAGTGTGTGGCGCGCGGAAGTGGGTGCATCAAATACACAGCGCGCGATCGTGATTCAGACCGCGCGCCCAACTCTATATGCCGCGCACGCTTATTGCGCGTTCGTTGAAGCCCCTATATCGATTGCGCATGCTAAAAAGAACAAATTTACGATGCGGCGCTTATTTAGTGCGGCTGTTGAAGATGCTCTTAGAGAGAGACCGGAGAAATGAAGACCCTTCGTGCGGCGAGCGTATCAGAAGGTGCAACTGCAAATCATATAATTTTCGCTTGCTTGATGGCAAGGAGCGCTTCCTATTTAGCGCTTGAGGGGCCGGTTATAGGCTATTGGGCAAACCGGAGCACACCCCCCTTCTGCGCGCTGGGCCGGCCCATGCCACTCCTTTTTCTGGTTTTGAATATGCAAAAAATGTACACTGGAAAGAAACGAACCCGCGACCAAACTAGTGTGACCATACTTTGTGGATCACGAATTTTCCTGCTGATGTAACCCGTGCAGTGACCGGCGATCTTGTCGCGACCACATGTTAATGGAATGCAAGGTGTTTCATATAAAAAATGTTATGGTAATCCATTTACTTTTCTTCTTTCATATTTTCCCTAGCCGTTTTTTCTTTTTTCGTTGTTGGGTTTTTCTGCACCGGGTTTTGTTTTTGTTTTTTCTTTCTTTTTCTGTTTTTTCTTTATTTTTTTCAAAAAGCATTTTTTAATTTGATGTTTTTTTTCAAAATCGATGAACTTTTTTTCCAAATCGATGAACTTTTTCCAAAAATGATGAACTTTTTTCAAAAATTGATGATTTTCCTTGAAATTAGTGAACTTTTTCAAAATTTAATTATTTTTCATAAAAAGATAATCTTTTTCCAAATTATTTTCAAATAACACAAAAATCTAAGTGATATAGTAATTGACTGAGTAATAAATAGCGCACTCTATTAGTTCTAAAAGAATTTGCTTTGCTATTAGTCACTACTACCGTTGAGAAGCTCTAGTGATTATTGTAGCAATACGAGAGAAGTAGCGGTGCTAGTTTCATTCTCCATACCACCGTTTTTTTGCATGGTTTTTTGCGCTATAAATTCAGTGTACTGCGCTGCCCATTAGGCGCTGCAGATGGCTTCCGCAGCGATGAACGCGCCAAATAGAAGGAACCAGATCCTCTACCGTGCCCGAAGGCACGTCAGAGGTGCCGTGCCTTCTTGCTTTCCAGCAAAACAGGCGCACTGGGCAGAATGGCCCAACTAATGGGCCTTACTATTTTGATTGTCTTTTCTGTTTATTTTCAGCAGCTTGACAACGTTTGGCTCAAAAAAGAAAAAACAGCTTGAGAACGGGAGGATCACACGTTCATTGGGTAGCAAAGCAAGATTTTTCCTGCGAAAAACTTTCAACCTATTTTTGTCTGGAAAGATCAGATCTATTGAAAAAGTTGATAAATTAAATCGACATGCTATACCTGTGGTGACTTCGTACATCTCAAGATGCCATGCAGCTTAGTCTCTTGGAGGTGCTTAAACCGGTAGGGTGTGCATGCATGGGTTCATAGGGTGAGTGTATGCCCGTGTATGTGAAATGTGAGCGACTATTCAACATTGGGGTTTCTCGTGCCTCCCGCCGCCGCCGCCGGTCTATCCCGATCCTTGCCAGCGGGAGGGCTCCGTTTTTCAAGAATTTTGAGTTTTCTTAGGGTTTGTGTCCTCTAGTTTTGTAGTCATTGCTAGGTCTCTACGGATTTGGATGTATTTTCTACTTCTTGTTTTCTTTGTACTACCTTTATAGTTGATGAATAAATTAATAAAATCTCGCAAAAAACATTCCTTATACGACGAATGATTAATAGTGGTCGTTTGATTGTTTCGGAATCTCGATGTGATTTTTATTATGTTTGAGATGATTTATACTTCCGATGAACTCTTATAATAGATTTGATTTTTCTAGAAAAAAAAGGTCGGATGTTTTCCGCATAAAAAATCTTGCTTTGCTATTCAACTACTGTGTGATGCTCCCGTTCTCAAGCTCTTTTTTTTAGACAAACGTTGTCAAGCCGCTGGAAATAAACAGAAAAAATAATCGCTATTCAACTACAGTGTGATGCTCCCGTACTCAAGCTGTTTTTTTAGACAAACGTTGTCAAGCTGCTGGAAATAAACAGAAAAAATAATCAAAATAGCAGGCCATTAGTTGGGCCGTTCTGCTCGTAGGCTACAGGCTCAGTGCGCCTGTTTTGCTGGAAAGCAAGAAGACACGGCACCTCTCACGTGCCTTCGGGCACGGTAGAGGATCTGGTTCCCAAATAGAAGCCCCTGGCAAGGGTTGAGTGGCGTTGCGTCAAAGAGCTCTTAGATACTTCCAACGCCGACTTTCAAACTAAATGCATCCGTTCAAGACATGTTTTATCATCCAATGTGGTGTCCCGTCAATGAACCTATGAAGTGGGATAAACATGTCCACACATTGCGATAATAACCCTTTAATTGCTTGTTGTAACGGGCTTTAAGGCATGGTACTGTCTCAACTAATGCTTCTAGACGTATAATTTATATTTTGTTAATGTTTTAGATGGTCAATTTAACCCCAAATATGAGAGGGCACAATAAATCTGGATGGAGGTAGTAGTGTGCTTTCTGACTCTTTTTAATTCAACCAAGTGAACTATTTTCAGAAACCGTACCATAAGAGTCACAAATTGCGTCCTAAGAGCCCGGTCCGTGTCCAGACCTGTCTGTTCTGAGCCCCTATTTGTATGTGGATGCAACTATGTTCCTCATTTTTCTCCCTTATATGCCCGATGTGATTAATGGAGATGAAGAAAGAGAAAGAGAAGGAAGAATAAAGGAAGAGAAAAGGTGGTTCGCGGCGGGCCGCGTCGTAGCGGACCGACAAGGTATGTTCACAAGCCTCCATATCTTCCTCGTATTTGGTGTTAATATGAGGGTTTATAGACAGCCCAGAGGCGTTCGTGAGCCCTCATATCCTTTCCATATTTGATGTCAAACATGAGGATTTATAGACAACCTCATCATATAGAGATAATATGATGGTTTCGATTGGGTCACTTTTTCATTTTCTTTTATGTCCGACCACTACCGGGCTGACGTGAGACATTTGAGAAGGGTTTGAAAGGACCTTAGATGCTCTAACCATGGACCTATATTGAGCTTTATTAGTTAGGCACTCGTGTGATGCAGATTTTCTGAGCTCATGCATCCGGATCTCGCTATCCTAGCTCTCCAATGTTACTTTAAGATCTGTGTTGCACAACTAAGTTACTACATGAAAGTTTCTTTTTTTTTCTCCCATATAAAACATATCTTGAACTCCAAACTTTGCAGCACAACAAAGTTTTCTAACTAAAATGTGGGATAAAATTTTCAGATTGTTTGGTCCAACATAAATATTAAAAAAATTTAATCAAAAGTTTGAAGTTCAAGACAAATTTTAGGAGAGAAACAACAAAAAAGGACGCCGACAACGCTTACACGTGTGGACGTTAAGTGGTCTGCCCATATATTTTGTGTGGTGTCTAAGCGGACCATCCCACACGCCTACGTGTGGGCAAAACAAGTAATGCCCACACGTCTCTTTTTTCCCCGGTTCCTCTCACACGTCTACGTGTGGGCAAAATAGACAACGCTCACATGTCCGTGTGTCAGGCCTCCTACCTCATGGTCCCGCACGTCCCGCGCTACAGTCGCCAAGCGCCCGCAGTTGCCATGGTCCGGACCCTCTTCCATGTTCGTTTAACTGCAGTTGCCATGTCGCTGAACTACAGTTGCCATGTTGGACAACTACATTTGCCATGATTGCTCAACTGCAGTTGCCATCTCAAGTCAAGTGCCAGATGCCATTTTTGGACAACTGCAGTTGTTGCCATGTTTGGCCTGGTTTACTATAGTTGCCATGATTTGAAAAACTTTAGGGGTTGCCCCCTACTAACACTAGGCGGATGCCATGTATGGTCTGATTTACTATAGTTGCCATCATTTGAAAATTTTAGGGATTGCCACCTACTAACACTAGACAGTTGCCGTGTAGCGCTACAAAGAGACATGTCAAAATAACATGTTTGGGTAAAGAGAGAGTTGCCATCTGCTTAGAAGCACACTAGGGCAGTTGCCATGTACCCTGCAAAACACATGGCAACTAACATGTTCGGGTAAAAGAGAGAGTTGCCATCTGTTTATAAGCACACTAGGGCAGTTGCCATGTACCCTGCAAAACACATGGCAACTGACAGTTTTGGGTGTGGGAGAGGAGACGGGTGTGTGGACGAACTGATAGATGCCCACAGACCAGCCCCTGTGCGTGATTGAAAACTGACGTTTGGGCGAACTGTTAAACGCCCACCACACCGATCCATCCATGTAATGAAAACGGACGTGTGAACGACCGAATGAATGCCCACACACCAGCCAGTCCTACGTGGCATCACAAATATGCCAAAATTTATGCAACCACAAACGGACGTGGATCCACATGTGTGAGCGAAATGCAAATGCCCACACGTGTAGGTGT